GACAGAGCGTCCAAAGGCTACTCGTCCTTTCGGAGGGGGAGGGTTGGGAGAGGCAGGTGTCTTGGGAGAGGTAGGAGTCTTCCGAGGAGCAGAAGAAGAGGAGAAGGAAGAGACCGAGGCGGGGGTGGAGCCTGGACTTGGGTTGTGAAGGTGTTTAGACACTTGCAGTGCCCGCGACTTGAAAACTTCAGCGAGGGGTTTAGTGGGGCTGGCGGTTGGCGGGGGTGGTGTCCAGTGGCCTTGGGGGGGAAAGCGCTGGGAAGCCACGGTGACGAACGTCGGGACCGACTGCCTGCATGGGACAGCCGTCGGCACAGCCAGCAAGGCGCAATTCGTGGGCAGGAGGGCAGCAGCTCGCTGGGCTCGTTGGGCGGAAAGGAGCCCCTGCAGACTGCGGTGGACAGACATGCACTTGGGGCAGTGTGGCAGCTTATAAGTATGTAAGTGCGAAGCCTGCCCAGATGCTGCCGGCTCCTCCTCTGGGTTGATGGGCCTTGGGCCGAGGATCAGATGGCAAAGACAATCACATTGCAACAAGTGCACAGTGAACACAGACCAGAAAGAGGAAAAGGGCACGGACGTCCTCTGCAGCTCTCTCTCGGCCGTTCCCGCCCTTCCCCCCATCGTCAATACAACCGATTTGGCCGCCAAAACCCAGCTGCCACTACACTGTCACCAGAGGCTACATGCTGGACAAGGCCATCTGACTCCAGTCCAATGTCCCTGCCATACATTCCACTATCCAGCCCGTCTGCGCCCTGTCTGTACGCAAACGTCTCCTCTGGCAGCTCCTCTTCCCAACCCGCTTCCTCCAAGAACAGCTTGTCATCATGGTCCATGTAATCTGCTTCCACACAGCACGAGTCCAACGCAGCCTCCTCCAAGCAGAACCCACGGGATCGCCCATACTGTGCCTGCTGTTCATATACGCCTGGTCCAGCGATGTTGGCTAGCGCTGGCCTACGCGGCTCTGTCCCTGCAAAGCGCACCCTTGGAATTACATCGAGGTCTGGATTTCTATGACTTCTTGCTCTTCGGGCCGAATGCGACCGTTCACATCGCTCAGCGAAATTGTGGTGTGCAGTCGTAGGCCGGCTTCTTTGTTGGAACCTCTTATTGCACTGCTGTATCGTTCTGTCCAAATCAGAAGCCGTTGATGGCGCCATCTCGTACATGGCTTCTTCTTCTTCTTCTTCTTCTTCTACTACTACTACACTCTCACGGTGTCGCCGCCGTCCAGAAAGCGAGACTTGTTTGGAATATGGAACAGCGGTCGAAGCGCATGTTTCTTTTTCACGCGTATGGACAGGTTTGGGCCTGATACATTTGAGCTCTACATGGGTAGGTAATGAAGGTGGCATTGACGAGGTTGATGCAGCGTTGTCAGCCTGCTGACAACTGGCCACTTGGTCAATGGCATTGATGCGTCGTGGGGACGATGTGCGCTGAGGAAATGACCGAGATCTAAACACTGAACGGCGTGAGGGATGTGGGGAAGAGTCCTCGAGTCGCTTCGACGAGCGACTACTTTCAAGCCGGGATATTGCCGGAGGAGCCCGTGGAACAGAAGAACCCCGACGGCTATCCATGGGCCTACCATTGTGGTTACGCCCTGATAATCTTACCTGAAGCTCACGCGTACTGCTCCGATCCAGTGGGCGGGCTGGAGTAGTACTGTGAGCTCTACCTGACTCGGACCAAGTTACGTAGCTTGTGCTGTCGTGATGTGGACGTCTACTACCAAATCCCAGGTACGAAGCCTTGGTGGGTGCTTCAATAGTAGGCACTGCTGCGTCATTCAGGGGATGTGGTTTCTGGTCCTGTTGCACTGAGATGGGAACCGACTCCTTTACATGTGCTCTTCGACAATCAGACACACTATGGTCCTTCTCCACCAGAGTAGGTCGTACAGTCGTGAAGTAGGCAGATATCTCTCCCTCTTTCGAGTGGACATGGTCCCTTTTGCGCCTACTCTTGGTATTTTCTGGTCTTCGTGGCAGGCTTGACTGTTCTTCATGCTTCTGCAAGAATTTCATTTCGGAGAAGACAAGATCCGGCACTGCAAGTGTGATTAGCTAGAGCAAACTAATAGTGAGCTTCCGATGTTAGGTATGCTTACCACCGCGACCCTTGACAGCCGTCGAAGTCTTTCCCTTGTTGAAGAGTCCCCAATGCTCCCGTGGCTTGAGCTTGACCAATCATCAGCGGACCATGCCTATACTGCATACATGGCAGCTCTTACCGTCAGCCGATCTCCTGTAACGTTCTTGGCGTAGAAGTCTTGTCCCACGCCGCTGCCGTGCTTTTTCTCATGCTTGCGCTTAGACTTGCCCTGTGTCTTTTGGACCACGCCTTTCCGGCTCCGATGGACATGCCTGCCCCACTCCCCAGCGACCTTGGGGGAATGCTCGTACCGACCCGGGCGTGTCTTTCGGCGAGGTCTCCGTGCATACCGCTCGCTGGACGTGCTGAAGCGGGTAGGATCGCCGCGTACATGGCCGGGATGCTCTCCATGGGCACTCTCGTCTGTCCCACCCTCGCTAGGGAGATTCCGAGGCCTCGTGGTGGTCGTGGGCCGCGGAGACAAAGATTCGAGCAGTGAGCTGTCAGTCCGACTTCGCTCCCGCGTGTGCTTTCTTTTGAGCCCCTTTTCACGGCCACGCAGAGCTGGGATTGGGGCTGACTGGAAGCTGACGAGTTTCTCTGCCGCTGCCACTTCATCCAGCCATTTGGAAATGTCCATTGGGGGGCTGCGACAGCCAGAGTCAGACGTAGAGTGGAGACGCCATCGATGGACTCACCAGTGACCAGAGATGGACAGAGATAGGAAGCCGCGTGGTAAAGCCAGTCTGTGCGCCTCTCAGCTCTGGAGCTTTGTTGGTGGTTGTACAAGATTCCATGGATTGGCAAGATGCGGTGGGAGAATACAGTACTGTTCAAGGGAGCTTGATTTTGTGTAACACGGAGCGGGAAGGAAAGCCCTGGCCAAGGATGAGGGAGAGTGGACAGGTTGATGAATTATGTTTGTGGGTTGTGGGAAGGAGACATGACGTGCAGCCGGCAGGGCAGGGTCCAAGAGGAAGTGACGATGGACGGATGATATGAGGACGAGGATGGAAGGTGGATCCATTGGATAGCTCACCATGTACTCTAGATTGTGGGTGGTGAGGGAAGAGCATGGTGCTCTCGCCCACATCAAAAGTTCAAGAGGTACTTGGGCAGTGAGTGCCGGGCAGTTTTTATGTCTGTTGTTTCTGTGTGCATCCGAGGCCGTCTAGTAGTAGTACACAGCACTGTGCCTACTACTAGACTTGAGGCGGTTGTGTATCATTTTCCTGTCTGGGGTGTTGAAGTACCTAGGGTATTTTGGCGTCGAAGCGTCAGAGTGGACAGGTTAGTCTAGAGTACAGTAGTGGACAGGTTAGTAAACATTAGGTAGACACTTGGGTGCTCGGTACGGATGAGTCATGTTGCAGTTCCATTTGGATCCAGGCCGATTCAAAGACTGTGAGAGTGAGAGTGAGAGTGGGAGTGGGAGTGGGAGTGGGAGTGGGAGCGGGAGTGAGGGTGAGACAAGGCAACGTCAACGTTTGTCTGGCCACAGCATGGCTTTACTTGTCTATGGAAGGGGGTTGAGGTGGCCAGGGGAGGGGGAGGGGGAGGGGGAGGGAGAAGAGGGTCTCCACATTGAGCAGGCTAGAGGGGGCGGCACCAGCCAACCTCCCATCCATGGCTTTTCACAATAGACCGGCCGGACCCCACAGCCCTTGCCCTTCCCTGCCCTTCCCTGCCCTTCCCTGCCCTTCCCTGCCCTTCCCTGCCCTTCCCTGCCCTTCCCTGCCCTTCCTTGCCCTTGCCCACACACTCCTCAGGCTGGCGGAGGGCGATTGATGATCGTCCATGACACCCATTGGCCCATGGCCGACATGATAAGCTTCCTGAACCAGTCTTTTGCTGTCCAATGCGCGCCCACAATGGCCCCTCCGCCCCTCCGCCTTTGCCCTTGCCCTGCGACTACTGTACTGTCTGTCTCTGTGTAGGTAGTTACACTGCGACCTCCCATCGCTCTACCGTTTCCGGCTTTTTGGTCTGTCGCTTCGCCAGGTGGGAGAGCAAAAGCACGCAATGGCAAATGTCTGCTTACCTACCAATTTGAGCTGCCCACTGCCACTGCCCAACTGCCACTGCCTTGCCAACCTAGCCTATCGTGCGCACAGCCTTCAATGGCCACGCATCGCGTCCTCATCCTCATCCTCGTCCTCGTGCTGCGCCCACTCATTCCAGTTGACGCGTACATACGATACTCTGGCATACCTGCTACCTAATGCATTCACTCTGTTCCTACCCTTGTGTTGCCATGTACCTGCCGGCACGGTAGGGGTCGTACTTTGGTACAGCAAAGAGGACCCATGCCATGTACTATACCCGTAGGTACTCCTAGAGAACATGGACGGTACTCTAGACCACCTATCTACCTTGGCCCTGGCAAGCCCGCAGCCAGCAACCAGTAGCCAGCTTATGAGTAGCCAGAAGATGAAAATCGAGTCGTCGCTTGGTGCATGGGTCCAAAGGGTCTTCTCGCCCGCCAGACTGTGATTGGGCCCCTCTAGCCCTAACCTACGCTGGGCTGCAGATGTCCAGCATGAGGAGACGGACACGGGACAGACTAAAAGGACTGACTTACCTCTGGGCCCTGGCCCTGGCTACTCCTGCAGCATGGCCTGTGTGTATGTGTGTGTGTGTGTGTCAGAGAGAGAGAGAGAGAGTGCGTGAGACTAAGAGTGTGTGTCTGAGAGAAGAGACTGAGAGAAAGGATGTATATATGTATGTGTGTGTGGGTGTGGGTGTGCCATGTCTGGGGGAAATGCAGTAATACGCCGTATCTGCCACAGACACCCACTCACTCACTCACTCACTCACTCACTCACTCACATAAACACAAACACATGTATGTATATATATATATATACCTATACCAACTGGGGCAGGCGAATCGTCCTTGTTCACGGTTGCATCCCATCTATGTAGAGTACACACACACCCACATCATCCGCATACCCACACCCACACCCACACCCACACTCACACTGTATACCCTCCCCTCCTCTCCCGGCTGCACTCGTCCCTAGTGAAAAGGCCCAATTGCATGTCTTGTCTGTCCGTCTCCGTCTCCCTCGCCGCCCTGCTGCTGCCCTACCACTTGTCCTGCTACCCTGCTGCTGCCCTGCTGCCCTGCTGCCCTGCTGCCCCTGCTGCCCTGCTTTTGCTGCCCTTCTCTCACCCGGATCGCCCAGTCCACTCACTCACTGAACTTGGTCCCGACCGTCCAAGCGCCAATACAGCTAGCGCTCTTTCATCGCCTGGAGGGGTCTATCTTCCTTGCCCCGCCAACTCTGGGACACCTTCACTATCTCTGCTTCGACAGCTGCCATCCCCCCCACACCCTTCTCTCTTCTCTGCCACAAAACCTTGCAGCTCCCATCGCTCCCACTCTCCCGCTCTCTAAACTCTTCCAAGCCCGCGCTTGCGCCATCTACACCGATCCAGCCTGGTGCTACAAGACTAAATGTTCGTTCCGTCACGTTGCTACATGTTGCCTGCATATAGGCTGCCCGCCATGGCCTCCTCGCTCTCCCCCGGCCTTCTCTTCCTCCTCCTGCATCTCCTGTCCTTACCTGTCTCGACAGTCTTGCCTTGCGCTTTGTTCGTTACGTTTTGAGTGCTTGTATTGAGACAGTTCAGTGTTCGATCCAGCCTTCTACTACATCATGTCGAAGCTCTTCATTGGGTAAGTGCGACCCCGTCCCTTTGGTGCGCCTGCCACGGACTGACACCTCCCAACAGAGGCCTTGCATGGCATACCGACGACCAGGCCCTGCGTCAGAAATTCGAGGAGTTTGGCCAGGTCGAAGAAGCCGTAAGTCGGACGCTGGGCGCAATCCGCCCATGCTAACCCACACTTTTCGCTCACCATCTACCAGGTGGTCGTCAAGGACCGCGACACCGGCCGCAGCAGGGGCTTTGGCTTCGTGCGCTATGCCAATGACGCTGAGGCAGATGCTGCTATGCAGGCTCTGAACAACGAGGAGTGCGTGACATCCATTCCTCGCCCCCCCCCCCCTCGCTGGGCCGCCCAATCGCCCACGCTACCGTCAAAATGCAGAAACGCACTCACTTTTGACGCCATGTTCGTCTCCCTTGGCTGAATTGCGCTGACCGTCATAGATTCGACGGCCGTAGGATCCGCGTCGACAAGGCCTCCGACCGTGCTGGAGGCGGTGGCGGTGGCGGTCGTGGTGGCTACGGAGGCGGCGGTGGTGGTTACCAACGTGGTGGTGGTTACGGAGGTGGTGGTGAGTCCTAGGGTTGCCCGTATATCACACACATGAGCTAATCAATTCAACAGGTTACGGCGGCGGTGACCGTGGTAAGCTTTCGCAAAACATATCAAACGTTGATCAAGATCTAACATGGTGACAAAGGCTACGGTGGTCAACAAGGTGGCTCCTCTTGGGGACCTCCTCAGGGCGGCCAGCAAGGCGGCGGCTACCAGTCTCGTGGCGGTTACGGCGGTCAGGGTGGAGGTTACGGTGGCCAGGAAGGTGGTCAGGGTGGCCAGCAGTGGTAGATTCCTCGATGCTGCCTTCTGCGGTCCCTTGCTTTTGAGAGATGATAGCACACGAATAGGCTCGTCGAAGGAGAGACAGAGAAAGAGGCAAGAGTAATGACCTCAGGTGTCTCGGTGTAGTGACTGTTAATGGCAGTGAGGGTGGTTGGTACTGACGAGATGCGATACCCATTGAATCAGGAGGTGCTGCTACTCTGTACTTGTCTAGCGAAGAAAAGACTCCAATTCCTTGCCCACATTCTCCTGGGGTCTTTGGGTGCACGTGATGTCCTCTGTCCACGTCGCAGATTTTGCCAGTTACCTATGTATGTATGTATGTGGAGTTGAAGTCTGATAGTCACATGGTGGCACCACCAAGGCAAGAAGACTGGCAATGGCAACCCTCCATTATCAAGATGAGGCTCTGCGACCAGGGAAGTACCACATTGGGGCCACAGCGCAGGGAAGCCATCTGGCATCCACTCTTCACGACCCCTGTCCTCGGAACACTCTCTCCACACTCGATCGCATCGAAGTTCGAAAAAAGGCCCTACGTAATACGCCCGCACACGATTTGAGGCCTCCAGGAAACTGCAGCTTGCAGTCCATCTCCGCACACGACCATGCAATCAGAGACAACACATTGTGACCAGCCCGCATAGCGCATACATAGCCGCCGGTACGTTCTGCACGCTTGTTGCATACGAAGTGCATTTCTTTGCTGCACTCTCACTCACTCGTAACCTTGGGAGCTTTGTGAATTCTGCCCGGTGTGCTTTGCCGTCCGCTGTAGCCAAGCGTGCGACCACACTCTTCCACTTGACTGCTGCCTGGCGACATGTCATCTTCATGGTGGCGTTGGATAGAGGGCAGGGCCGTCTGGGCACGCAAGGAACTCATCTGCTGAGATGGTCGACCGTCTGTTGAACCCCGCTTCCACCAAAGACGATAAACCCCATTGCTATTCCAATCCCTGCAGCGCCATCGCACCGATATCGTCTATCCAGGTTGTTGGTCGAGCCCACGCGGAATCGACATGAAGAGTGGGAATGGACTGGAGACTGTCACTGCACCAACATTCAAGCCCCAACGGCCCCTGATCCAGCGTGTGCTGAGCGCGACATTTGTCACGCTTGTGATTCTTGCTGGTTTGGACACTGTCTTTCCTGATGCAAAGCATTGCTTAACTCCAACCTCATGGAGCAGTGTCTCGCAATCTTCGGGCACTCATGCTCTATTAGAGCCCTTTGACTGGTCCCAGGTACGTTGCTTGCCGTCTTCATTACACAAGCATGACATGACGAGGAGCCATTTCGTCAAAACAGCGCCGCTCAATTTTGCAAACTCCATAGCCAATGCCAGAAGTCCAAGTTGGATCCTCAGTCCCCACAACCTCGAGTACAGAATCTGCCAATACTTTGCGGCTTGGCACTTTTACTATCACTTTCCTCTTGCGACCTCGAAGTCATTGCTACATGTACCCCTTACCAGACCATCGTGATGGCAACACATTGCTCTAACCATAGCTAACAGGATTTCAGATCGAATCGAAAGATTACTTGGACTTTCATGATTGCAACGAGGGTTTTCAGTGTGCAAAGTTGCGCCTGCCCCTCGATTACTTCAACGGAACATATCCCAATGCAACTGTAAGCATTGCCATTGCGAAGTATGCTGCAAGAGTTCCTGTGAATGATCCCCGTTATGGCGGCCCTATTCTCTTGAATCCCGGTGGCCCAGGAGGTGCAGGAGCTCTGTTCGCCTTCTTGGTGGCAAGTGCTTTACAGCAAGTCGTCGACTCTAGCAGCCATCCTTCAGACGCCCTACCTGAGGCAAAGTACTACGATGTCATCGGGTTTGACCCTCGCGGAATCGGCATGTCTGAGCCTCTTGCAAAGTGCATGCCATCTGAGCCTTCAGCATGGTCTTGGGAGCTGAGGGAGAACAATGAAGGTATCCTAGGTAGCTCAGATGCTGTGCAGGGGAGACTTTGGTCTATGACACATGCCTTTGGATCGTCTTGTTCGATAGCTTCGGAAGATGCAGATGGTCCTGACATCAAGCAATACATGTCGACGGCATCTGTGGCGCGAGACATGCTCGAGATCACCGAGAAGCATGCAGAGTACGTCGCCGAGCAACGAGCGCACCTAGCAGCTCAGAAGACGGGTAAGGCTCTAGGGGGCCATGATACTGGATACAGACCAGGAGAATCCAAGCTGCAGTACTGGGGATTTTCATACGGAACCTTCCTCGGGACTACCTTCGCCTCCATGTTCCCAGACCGAGTAGGACGTGTTGTACTCGACGGCGTGGTGAGCTCGTATGACTATCTGGATTCTCTGGGCAATGGCAGTCTATCAGATAGCGAAAAAGCCATGGAATCCTTCTACACCTTTTGCCACGAAGCCGGCCCATCCAGCTGCGCACTAGCAACGCCAGATGGATCCGCAGTCCAAGTGAGAGTGCGAGTCCAAAAAATCATCCAGTCATTATACCACGCCCCGCTGTCAATCAGCACTCCACGCGGCCCAGAGATCCTCACATGGTCCGACGTCAAGACCCTCATCTTCAGCAGCCTGTACACACCCCGCGCCACTTTCCCCTTCCTCAGCACCCTCCTCGCAGCCGTCGAAACAGGTGGAACTCCCTTTCTCGACTTCCTCGTCGACGCAAACCCATTCCCCCACATCTACTCGTGTCCCGTCAACGGTACCTTCCCCTCCTACACCAACAACCCGCACCGCAACGTCGCCACCACCGCCATCCTCTGCGGCGATGGCCACGACCAAACCCGCCTCTCCCTCCCCGCCTTCTCTACCCACTGGCACACCATGGCCTCCAGCTTCCCCACCGCAGGCGCCTACTGGTCCATGCTGAAGCTGCGCTGCGCCGCCTGGCCGATCCACGCATCCCACAGCTTCCGCGGCCCCTTTGGCGCACCACAGACAAGCCACCCGCTCCTCTTCCTCGCCAACACCGCCGACCCCGTCACCCCGCTCCGCTCCGCAAACCTCATGCACCCCTTCTTCCCCGGCAGCGCCCTCGTCGTCACAGACGCCCAGGGCCACTGCTCCCTCGCCACACCCTCCACCTGCACACTCGCCCACGTGCAAACTTACTTTCAAACAGGCAACCTGCCGCCCAAAAACACCCTCTGCGTCCCCGAAAACAGTCCCTGGAGCCTGAATTCCACCGACCCAGATAGCCCTTTTTACGATCCTGAACTTGGCGGGTGGGATGCCGTGACGCTGACACAGATGCGTGAGCAGCATGGGCAAGACCGACTTGCTAGACTATCTACACTTGGCGCAGATATTCGCGACATAATCGTGCGCACTGGTGTCTTTGGCTTCGAGTCGCTTTTTCGCTCGAGGATGGGGCGTGGGCTCGTGGGGGTTTGATTGGTTTGGAGGAGTGGCTTGGGGGCGAAGGGGGAGATGTGTTTTTGGGGGAGATGGAATGTTGGAGGATGAGGGGGGTTGTGGTTGTCCTGGGTTATTGTTGTTGTCGTTGTTGATGTGTATACACGTGGATAGATTCATGGGATAGGGGTTGGGGAGTTGAAACATCAGTGCTCATGTCGTGGGTCTTTGAGTTTTGAGTTGGCTAGACATATATATATGTGCGTGTTACACGTCCCATGCACCACCATATGTCAGGATGTAAATATAACCCCATCAAACATGTAGACAATACTTATAATTCCCCCTTTTTATCCTGTTTATTTGTTCTTGGTGGTTCAAACGGGCAAAAACGGTTGTGGAGCTGTGGAGTGGAGGTATTGGTTTGGATTTTACACTTGTGTGGGAATTCAATTATACACACACATCTAGAGAGACAAGTAAACAGTACATGTACGCTGTATTCCCGTATACAAAAGTGCTGGTGGAGAGAAGAAGAAAAGAAGAAAAGACCAAAAAAAAAGAAACGCCAGTTGTCATACTACCCCCATTCCCATTCCAATTCCCATTCCCATTCTGCCAACCAGACCACCAGCCTACCACATATACAGACACACGCACACAATCTCAACCCCCACCCCTCTACTTCCACCTACTCATCCCCCTCTTCTTCTTCTTCTTCTTCCTCCTCACTACTCCCCTCCTCCATCCCCTCCGCAACCTCAACCTCAAACCGCGGCGCCTGATCAACCCCAAGATAAGAATCACACACCAGGAAAAGCGTAAGCTCATGGCGGCCCGGCCTCTCAATCGAAAACTCAAGCGTAGTATCAAGCACCCGCATGACCGGCACCTTTTTGATCGCCAGCAAAGTGCGCTCCTGCTGATCACCCACAACAAGCCACCAGCTCTCCGTCTTGTGGGCGGGGAAAAAGGGGGCATGGACGGCGGTGGGGACGGGGTCTTCGGGGTCGAGATTGCGGGAGATGTGGACGCGGAGGTGGGCTGGGGAGGTGGAGGTGATAGAGTCTGGGTTGACGAGGGAGTGGTCGAGGTCGAGGTTTGGGTAAAAAGTGTTTGTGAAGTTTGCAATGTCTGCAAGTTGGGATTGGTCGAGGGCGAGGGCGGAGAGGAGGTCGTTGTATTTTGGGTTTTCGTCTGGGTCCATTGCGTTGATGAAGTCGTCGACGTCGGTGAGGGAGAAGCGGGCGGCGGTGGCGATGGTGTCGTTGTCGAAGTGGGGAATCTGTTTGAGTGGCGAGTCCTTTTGCCACATTGCTTGCACGACCATTTGCGAGAGTTCCATGGCCGAGAGCGCATTCAGGTGGGCTTCGGATGAGAGCACGTCGACGCTGGCGGAGAGGATGGGGAGGACCTTCTGGAGCACGGTTTCTTGGTCCTTGGCGAGGTCGATGGGGAGTTGCATGCGGGAAAAGTGCGCCTGGAGGAGGACAAAAGCTTTGAAGTGGGGCGTCTCGAAGTTGGGTTCTTGCATCTTGAAGGGCACGCGATCGTAGATGCGTTGGAGGATGTGGTCTTCGTGGCGGCGAATTTGTATGTCTTCAAACTCCGTGGCGGCAGTGATGATTTCGAGGATGCCCTTGAGGGTCGTCTTGCCGTTGAGAGACATCATCAGTGTCTGCATAGTGATAAACGAGATGTTGTAGTAGGCGGCAATCATGCATGGGTTGAGCGGCGTGATCGCGTCTTCCTCCTCGTCGTGCTCAATCAGGTTCGCGTCTGCGAGCTCCTTCAACGTCATCTCGACCAGCTCGGACAAATGCGCACTGAGACCCTCGTGCGAGGTGTCATGCAGGTTGTAGTAGCTCGGATTGGCAAGCAGACGGCGGTAGAAGTAAGTGTACGTTGACCAGTCAACAGCTTCTTGTGTTGACTCAATCGTCTTTGCACTAATCTCAGCGACGAAAGCGTCGTGGAGGTAATCGTGGAGATAACTCTCAATCGGCAATGCCTCATTGAGGAACTTCTTGTAGTACTCGCGCTTCACAGCAGGTAGCATGAGCACACCCTTGGCCGACTTGTCTTGTCCGACCCTGCCAGCCTTTCCAAACATCTGCAGAATATCGCTGATAGGATAGTCAACATAACGATGTTCACGGCCCTCGTAAAATTGTGTGCCCTGAACGATGACCAGGTGGGCACCGCCGTCAATCTCCCAGCACGAATCGCGCGATACGATGAGAACCTGAATGGCACCGACCTTGAACAGGTGCTGTACTGCCTTCTTATCAAACGAGTTGAGCGCCTCGTGGAAGTATCCGATACCGTGGGAGAGCGAGGTTGCCAATGCTTGCTCGTTGACCTTCTCCAAGATCGGCTTGATCTCGTCAAGTTCCACATTCAGGAAGCGATCGTCATCTTCGTCAGCAACACATGCATTGTACAAGTCTGCAGCAGAGTTGCGGGCCTGCTTCCTGTTGGGGACGAAGACCATGGCTGGCTTATCCGGAGACATTTGTGTAATGGCCAAGTATGTCGGTCTCGCCATTGCCATCATCAACGAAGGGAAATGGGGAATAGTGAACGACTGAATCTTCAACTCGAGCGGAACTGCTCGAATGGCAGGACTGAAGTTGTAGATGGTGTGCTTGTTCGCGCCGATCCACTCGCCAATGTCTCGAGCATTTGATAGAGACACACTGAGACCGACGATACGCAGCTTCGACTCTAGCTGTGCAGCCATGGCTTGCATACGAGAGACCACAATCTCATAGACATGTCCGCCGATGCCGCCAAGCATGTGAAGCTCATCAGCAATCAACAAAGCAACTGACTGAACGTTTTTCCGTCGTTGCCATTGACGAGAGAGTGAGTCCCACTGCGATGGCGTAGCCAGAATGAGGTCGCCCTTGTCGAGCAGGCGTAAATCTGCCGTTGTCTCGCCTGTAAGCTTGACCACGTCCTTGCCTCCTCCTAGTCCAGATAGGCGTCCACTCCAGTTTTTAAACTGCGTGTCCACAAGTTCCTGGAACGGCGCGAGATAGACGATACGACCCTCATTGTCACTGGCCCAGTGTCGCAGTATAGCAAACTCAGCACAAAACGTCTTTCCGATGCCGGCAGCAGCTCCAACAAGGACGTTGTCATCTGTTGTGTACAGAGAGTTGAAAACTTGTGTCTGCACCTTGTTGAAGCGGCCAACGTTCTCGTACAAGCCCATGTACTCTTTCCTCTTCAGGGCCGAGACCGGAAGTGGTTGGAGATCGAGCACAGGCGTGTGGGCGGGGAATTTGGCTGGTAGGATAAGCTTTTGGAAGGAGACAGCCAGCTTCGTCTCTGACGCCATCCATCGATCTGACAAGACCGTGATGAAGTAATTCGGCGGCATAGGCTCATCAATAGGTACTGTGAATTCGAGAAGATGCTCATTGACGTCTCCGTCAGCATAATCCTTACGTAAAAGGAATGTATCGTGGTACAAGATGTTCTCGCCATCACAATCTTCAACCATAATCCAAAAAGCTTCCGATGCTCCATGTATCTCGGTGTCCCACACAAAGTCAGGTCGAATGATGAGCTCCATGCGGAGTAAGGACCGTGTCACCGGTCGTGGCGTGGCTTCAATCTGTAGACGAGGGAACTTCTCGACCAGTTGACAAACAAGCTTACCAGCCTTGGGCATACCCAATAGCTCACCCATACTGGGTGGGTCGAGGCCAAAGTAGCTTGACCAGTCAACATCAATACGTTCCGCCTTCTGCACAATGTCTCTGGGACAGGTGGGGAATTGTCGAAGAGGAGTCATGGTTGGCCACATGCGTTTCTCCGCCATCTTGCACATGTCAAGAGCCAACTTCGCAACTTGAGACCAGCCCTTCTTGAGGCAAATCTCAAAGATGGCTCGCAGAATACGACCAGCTGATTGTGTTACGTACACCAAATCAGCCATCAGAGCAAGGCCTTCAAGCTTGAGTCGAGAGATGTACGCTTGTAGAAGAACGTTGATCTTGGCCTGAGCTTCCTCGACACCTTCCTTGACAGGGATCGGAACCTTTCCAAGCAGTTTTGCAAGTTCAAGCTTCTCGTCTTGACGGACAGGAATGAACTTGAACTCCTCACTCAAAGCGAAGATGCGGAACAGTTCAATTGCGCTAATACCAGGTTGAACGTGCATATTGTAGGTCGCCATCGAGTTGTGGGAAATGTAGTAGTGAGAGGCGATCCTTCCAAGCTCCGTTGGTGTAAGTTGTCCGGTCTTTCTGTCGTACTTGATGAGACTGCATTTCTCAAGCACGTGTGCGGCCGCGTGCACAAGATCCACACGCCTTTGTTCCAATACCGTGTCATTCTCGTACTCCGGGCCGACCCGATAAAGGGCGGGTGATCTCAGCATACGAACGAATAGATACGTGTATCCGAGCCAGTCTACTGCTTCGTCTCTATTGCGTACGTTGCCAAGCACAATTTCTGCATTGAGATTGTCCGCGAGTTTGCTGATGAACTGCGATTCAATCGGTAGTTGCTGGTTGAGCAGTGACAAGTAGTATTGAATCTCATCCTTGGTGGTGATGATGATACCTTCTCCGTATGTATCATACTGAGGCCGACCAGCACGACCAAGCATTTGCAGGACATCCTGAGGACTGAGTTCCACCCAACTACCTTTTTCAGGAGAGTAGATTTGTGTGCCCTTGATAATGACTGTATGCGCAGGCAAATTGACACCCCAAGCCAACGTAGCTGTACACACAAGGACTTGGATGGATCCATCAGCAAACAGATCTTCAACAGAGGTACGGTCTGCTCTCGACATGCCGGCATGATGAATACCGAATCCATAGGGCATCAAATCCTTGAGGTCGGCGTTTTGAACCGACTCGGCTTCCTCTCGCAGAATCTCTCGACTCGCAGCGTCTGACCGTAGAATCTTGCCTATTGATTCCTCTTCAAGCGCTTTATCACGTATGTATTTCGCCGTCTTTGCAGTCTCTTTTCGTGAATGCACAAAGATCAGCATTTGATTGCGGTGCTCGCCCACTTGTTCGAGGACCTTTGTGTAACAGACATCGTTCATCGTTTTTAGTTGCTTGATGGCTTTCTTGTCCGTCACACCAATGAACTCCTGCTTCAGCGGACATGGTCGGAAAGTGGCGTCAAAGTGGAAGAGACCCTTCTCGGGATCGATGCGAAGAAAGCTGGCAACATCGCGGTAGTTGGGGAGGGTGGCACTCAGACCCACGATACGAACATGATCGCCGGTCTGCTCGCTGCGCCGGAGGGTCCTGCTCACAATGCTTTCGATGACTGGACCTCGATCGTCGTGAAGCAGATGAATTTCATCAATGCATATCAGGCGGACTAGATTGATGTAGCTGGTGTCGGTAGCTTTGCGAGTGATGACATCGTACTTTTCCGGAGTAGTGACAATGATCTGCGTCTCCGCAATTTGCTGCTTGGTGAGTTGGCGATCACCAGTAAGCTCAGAGACCTTGATTCCATAGGGTTCCAATCGTTTGCCAAAGTTACCAACTTGTTCTGCGACAAGGGCCTTGAGAGGTGCAATGTAGATGATCTTGAAGTCGTCGAGAGCGATCTCTCCGGTTTGGGGGTTTCGATGTTTGCCAATTTCGCGGAGCATGGCTAGCATGGCAACATTTGTCTTTCCAGATCCAGTAGGAGCACAGATGAGCATGTTGCCGTCGTCTTCGAAAGCGGTGGGGAAGCACTTTGTCTGGATACGATTGAGAGACTTTGAGGATCCAAAGCCTGCACGCGCCCAGTCTGGCAAATCCGAGGTAGGTATGAGCGGCTTCTCATTTGGATCACGTTTAGGCTTCGGAGCGGGCACGTGAACCTCCTCATAACCCTTGAACACACGTTTCGTTGATCCCTGTGGCAGTTTGACACCATTGTTTGTCATGAGATGATTACCTTGCTCAAAGACAATGTTGTCGAGATTGACAAGGCGGCTAGAGGGTTGCAGTCCACCAACGATGCCGTCCGGTTTCGCATCTGCCATGTCCACATCGTTTGATGGCTCTGGTAGGCTAATGTCCTTCAGGTTGAACTTCATCTTCCCTGCACCAGTACCGTCCTCCGCCTTGATACCGGTCTCTCGAGCGCGCAGCTCTTGGAGAATGCGTTGCTGGCCCGCAGCCTTCATCTCCCGTTCGACAGCCGTTCGTTCATCGTTGTCTTCCGCTGCTCTCCGCCACCGTGTGACCCAGACAACACGGTCACGGTTAAGGACAAGCTTCGCAACCAGCTCGTGGTGTTCGTAATCGAAGAGTTCCATGAGATCGTTTTCAATCTCGCGCAAAGCCTTCTCTTCTCCGTCTTCAGATACTCCTGCGAGTATGTTCAAAGCGTCTTGTGTCTTTTCCTGCTGCGTGTGCGCATCTTCGTACACTTGACCAATTTGCCGTTGAAGCCAGTATGCGTCGATCTCGTGTGCGGGAATGAGCTGCTCACTGCCGTCTTTGCGGTCCGCAGAGGCAGAAGAGTCACCCTGTATGACCATCTCTTCCTCATTCGCCATGGCTCCGTCCTCTTGATCTTGTTCCCCGCCAATCTGCTCTATCTCCATCTCCGCCTCCTCCTCTTCGTCCGATGAATCGACATCACGAACTTCAAACGTCTGTGGACCGTCCTCATCTTCGTCTTCGTCGTCGAAAACAACTGCCACACCCTGATTGTCGCCGTTCTCAGCGCCGTCAGCATCGGCCATTGCCTCGTCGCCGCCATCCTCCTCGTCTTGCGCATCGTAGTCGGTGATCTTCTTGCCCAGGTTGACCAGCTCATTGAACTCTTTTGCGCCCATTGTGGTTCCAAGTAGATCGTCAATCTCCTTCTTCTTATCAAAGTCCTTGAGACTATCGTCCTTCAGATACTCCAAGACTGCATCTGCTGCACTTCTCGTAGTCGCGACGGGGACATCACCAAGCGCTTTGCTGACGATGGTTGTGATGAGCTCAAAGGTCGCCCGTGTCGCAGGTGTCCGAGGCTTATAGGTGAGGCCCTCAATGGTAAAGTCAACGGTTGCGCTCGCTCCATATGCGTTCATGCCTTCATCCCGTTTCCTTTTCTTGAGCTCGCGGGCGAGCACGTCGCCGCCCTCTGTCAGATCGCCACGCTCCACACCAGGTCCCTTTGGCTTCTTCGCTTGCGTGGGCGCGTTGTCTCGCGCAGTCCGTCCGCCCATGTCCCGAATATTTATGCGACCTGCAAGCGACTCGGGATCGCCCGTGTGGTCGTCTGGTCGGCGCGACGTAAATCGTCTGTCCGCCTGCAGGACCAAGTTTGACATGGCCGCATATTTGAATTGTGCAAGGTTGTTGGGCTCCTTCGACATGGTGGCGGTTGGAGTCTTGTTTTCGCGCGGCTTGCGCTTTCACTGTCGCCTCTTTTTCGATCGCGTCGCTGGCGCAATATATAGAATGCTGACGGTGATTAAATGAACAGTGAGAATTCTATGTGAAACGAAAGGAGAGGCCTGGCGCGATTAATAGTAGGTTGTTCTGCGGGCGCGCCCTGCAGATTGATGCAAGTGAGTCTGTCGGCAAACGCGAAAAAAAGGTCATGGAGCTTCACGACTAGGTCACGGTAACGTTAGGCCAGCATCTAGATCACGTGTCCTCGCCGCTGCACCTCCGAGACTCTATCAGTCACCGCCAAATGGAACATCGCCATATTGGCTGTTGGGAACACAGTGGGCACATCATGAAATGCGTCCCAAATTAGTCTTGTGATTTCCGGAAACTACAAGATAGCAGTCTCTCCTTCTGAAAGATACGCTGAAGTCCCAGGGATACAGGAGGCTCAACAATACTCTTCACAAGAGCTGCGAGATTTCTGCCAAAAGTTATGTGGATGTTCTCTAGAAAGATGTATTGAGAGTAAATCATAGTTGATCATAAAGTGCTACAGAGTCGGGTTCCCCTAAGTAGGAAAATCACATCGGCGCAGGTGTTCACGAGGGTATATTTCTTCAAGTGACTGTTTGGCGGGCTTTAAGTCCGTTCAGGGTAACCCAATACTTCCAGGGATATGATAACTCTTAGAGAGGCTTCCAACATTAGCTAGTCATCCACCGGTCTGGTGAAGCCTCGATCGCATGGTCCCTTACACGCATGGCAATGTACCGTCCAGCCTTGACTACCTTCGTCAGGTTCAGATTCACAGAGAATGGCCCATTTTGTCTTGTCCATCCAAACTTGATTCATCCCTCAGACTTGTCCCTCGGCTTTCTTCTTCTTCTTGTCCTCAATCAACTCGACATTATCCTCTGGCACCTCCTCATACTTGTCCACCAAGAATTCCAGAATGTCTTCGCTCAGATCACCCTGCACTGTAATCTCTTCACCCCCTCCCGGAATCTTCGTCACACTCGAGCCTGTTGCAAACTTCTTGCCAAAGTCCTTGGCTACCTTCTTGATGTCCAGACCAAATGCCTCAAGACCTTGGACGGCCGTGACGTATTTCCGCTTGTTGCGCTCAATACGTTTGATCAGGATCTTCGAGGAGGCGCGGGTTTCGGCTGCGCGTGCTTCAGCGGTGGCGGCTTTTGCGGCCTTCTTCTGCGCATCCTTTTCTGCGCGTTTCTGGGCGTCGACGGAGAGGGCGGACATGTTTTGTTGAAGTACTTCTGGAAGGACATTAGTACGTGCCATTCGTTTGTATAGTGTTCTTCTGAGAATAGATATCCTGCGTCGTTCCCTACCTTCTGAGTACAGCGTGCTGTGTAGAACTGGATGTGTCTCCGCGAGCCATTCTTCACACTTCTTCGTTGTACCACCAAATTCGCAGTACTACGAGTTCCCCAGTTAGTTCCACCCCGACTTGGACAATATCACTGTCGTACCTACTTCTGGTGGTAAACTGCATACTGTCTCTTGTTAGCTGCATCCTTTGAGGCGCTCAGGTAATGTATACATACCTCCACAGTATGTCACAGACTTGGGTAGTGTGTCTATAGACATGTTCGCAGGATCTAAGTCTTTAATAGCGAAAATCTACCTTGAAGAGGGATGGAGTGTTCTGATTTCAAGAAGGGAGGCGTAACAGATGGTCGTCGCGACCAACACGAGAAAGTGTAATGGTGGGGCAGATCCACCGCATGGCGGGGTAATGTGCACTCATAGTCCTCGGGGATAGTTGGTCTCACAACGACCTTGGAAGTCGACTCATTTGCCGTATAATTTCGCTTGCTGTGAAATCTCGCAGTTACTTGTCTTCGAAATAAAGGAAATCCTAAAGAAATCTGATACCTCTACTGACAGACAGAACAGACTTCAGATTCAATACGAACTTAAGTTAACAAACCATTCTTTGTGAATGGGCATGTCACATTGATACTGTCAGGAATTCTAGTAATGAATTGAATTGACACCCATAGGTATGGCTATTATTAACATTAAAAGGAAGAATGGTGTTCGTCGTACATGGACCATCAAAGCAACAAGCGGCCGTCACGGGGATATCATCTGCGCAAAGAACGGCTCTTTCTCTTGAGGTATTCCTAACCCTTCCTCCTCTTGCAAGACTCCTAGAAAGCATCTTCGTTTGGGCAGCCAGTAACATCATGGCCTTCACTCTCACAAAGCGCGCACCACTTGTCTGGGTCCGCGATCGCCGCACCCTTTGCTGGAACAAGATTCGAGTTCGATGCATTCGGGCCCGGTGTAGGTAAAGGAGCAGTGGGTGCACTGCCGGGCGGCTTCGATGGGCTAAGGACAGAGGGACGGGCAGTCCGATCAACGGAGAGACCGCGGAGGCCTTCGATGACAACGTCCTTGCCGTTGCGAATACCATTCTCCTTCGAAAAGTCAAGCGTATCGCTAGCTCCCATGGCAGGGCAATTAAGAATGTCATGGCCTCCAGTCTCACAGATTTCGCACCAAAGTAAACTGCTGTTAGCGGAAGAGCGACCATCCGATTCGGCCATAGGTGCCAGAGTGGAGGAAGCATCGCGCCGTGCTGGTTCATGCCAGTCGACGACGGTGCCCTTCGAGTCGTGTCCTGACGAGCGCTTCTCTTGAACAGCAGTGTGCTCGGATGCACCGTTGCTGATGACACTCGCGCGCTGCTCGGCCAGACCAAGTTGGCTCCTCAGCTTCTCGAGCTCACGCTCCAGCTCTTCTTCCCTGTAAGCCTTGCGCTCTACAAGGCCTCGTAATTCCTCTTTCTCTCGTTCAAGACGCTCTACATTTTCCTGCGCCAGCTTGAACTCTTCTGGGTCTACGGAAGAGCCTTGTCTTGACAGTGGGGAACGGCGGTGTTCGTCCCCTCCACCAGAGCTAAGCGAGTGGATGATGGCCTTGAGGCCTCGGATCTCATCGTCACGTTGTTCAATATCGCGTTGGCCTGGTGTGTGAGGGGCATCCGCCAGAGCGTCTGCGCCCTTCAAAGCTGCTGCCGCCTTCTCACGCTCTCGTCGGAGTTCTGATCTTCCGCGCTCGACCTCGCCCCTGAGGAACTCAACCTCGCCTCGTGCTTCAGCCTCACCTCGACGAGCGTCTTCCAGACCCTCTTCCAGCTCTTGTACAAGCTCCTCGAGTTGTTTAAGCTGCATGGCCACAGTCTCCACGTCCTCTGTACGGGACTGGTACTCGCGCAATTCTTCCTGTAGCTCTTCTACCTTCTTCTCGTATACTCGTTCAGTCTCTGTGCTCGCAAGTTCGAGGGTATCGATCGTGCTTCGGAAGTCGGACCGGTGAGCGTCGAACTCTGAGGTGAGCATAGCAATCTTGTCGTTCTTCTCCCTAAGCAAGGCTCGTAGTGTGGCTATGTCATTGGGCTCGCCATGTTGTGAACCATAGTCGGTACCATCCTCTGGGATCAAATTCTGTATTTCCGACAAGCTTGCTTCCATCTCGCTCAAAGACGACGCCTGTTCCTTGAGCTGCGTATCGCGTTCTTCCAACAGCTTCTGCAGTCGTTGCACCTCGTCGCCTTGATTTGCGCCCATCCGAGAACCAGGCCTTCGTCCTTTGTAGCTAGCCATGGAATCGTTGCTTGTTCGTGAAGCACCGACGGGTGTTGTCTCACCGTCTTCGTCAATGGTATCATGATGGCCCATGCGAGAATTGTTGTTGTTGTTGCGTGAATACGGGCGTGGCCCTGGTGTTCGCGGCTTTGGAGGAGGCGCTGCTCTCGAGGGTGCAGGACTTGCGAACCTAGGGGGTGCGGGACTTGCGAATCTAGGAGGTGCCCCATTTGCGCTTTTGGAGAATCCAGACGGTGTGAGGCCACCATTTCTGCCCGGGGTCGCCGCAGCAGTGCTGACTTTCTGGCGCACTGGCGATTCTGGACGTGACTGTGATGGGTTGCGTATT